ACGACGACGACGACGACGACGACGACGACGACGACGACGACGACGACTACTACTACTACTACTAGCAAATTGTGTGTTTTTCACCAGGGTGTTTTGACCGATGCCTAACCGATGCCACGGAGTGACTTCCAGACACCCGATCAAGGGAAATGCCCACTCGAGAGCAGATTGAAGGGTTCAAATGACATGCCCAAGAGAAAGGAACTAGCAGCTGCATATGCGAAATACTTGAACTTGTGAAAAAGTTGTTTGCTGTGCGTTGCTTCGCGATGTCCATGACTCTACTTGTGCTTGGAAACATGCTGTATGTTAGTGATATTCATCAAACATTGGAAGCCGATGAGGAAAATCCAAGCCCGATGCCCTGTCCTGATGACCGCACCCAGATGTAGGGAATTTTGGACCGACCTAATGTGTTCTGACCCAGCTCATTTCCGTTTTCCTGCTCCACTTCCGCCGCAGGCCACTGCGCCCAATGGGCCCTACCCACCGAATGGGCCCACGCTCCATGTGCTCGACGGGCCGACCTCGGCGATGCCCGCGGCGATGCCCGCGGCGATGCCAGCGGCGATGCCCGCGGCGATGCCCGCGGCGATGCCCGCGGCGATGCCCGCCGCGATGCCCGCGGCGATGCCCGCCGCGATGCCGGCGGCGGCCTCGATGTCACCGCACTTTCTGATGGCTCCATCCATACCCAAAGCTCCATCCTTCCAATCGCATCAGTGGAACTTGAATGCAAAGGACTTGGGGATTGAGAAAACATGAGAAAACATTTGGGATCTGACACTTAATTATGCGAGCAGTTGAATTGGAGCTAGAGAGTCAGGGAATGTCAGGAATTATGGATCCTCTTCACCTCCCTACATGTAACTTGAGCTTTCCACTAGTTCTGACCTAGTCAGAACTCGTTCTTTCGAAAAACTGTTAAAACTCTTCTGCTCGGTTTTCCCGGTTTGGCCGTTTCTTCCTGTCTCCGGTGACCGGTTCTGAGCTCTTCTGCCAGGACGTCTCCCAAGAGGAGTGGTGGTTGACCATGGCTCCCGTCACGCCTCCGGAGCTACGACACCAAGCCTTGGCGGTGGACGATGTCAGCGAAGATGAGGCCTCACCAGGCGCGGGAGAGATGGAGGTTTTTCGGTGGAGAGTTGGGGAACGGTGGGGGGGAAGTGGTGGAGATCTTTCCGATCTTGAGGTTCATAGGCATTCATAGGATTTGATAGGGGTTTTGTATGATCGTTCAGACATCATGGTTCAGTTTTGTGGGTTTGGCATGATCCTCGCAAAAACCGAGGCTTCCTCCATGTCTTCAGAGCATGCAGAAAATGCCAATATATATAAATATATGTATCCATAATATATGTCTTTTATATGTTTTTCTCCAACTCGTCACACATTGATCGCTCACCAGGATTTCTCAGGTATGCTGGAAGGTTGGGTCGAATTCTCTCGTCCCTCCCTGAATATTTCAGCTACACCGACCCATCCGACCTCATTTGATCCATCAGCAGAAATCTATCAGACGTCAGCATCAACGTTTCAGGTGGGCGCACGCCGCCACTCTCAGAGGTGAACGGAGTGAACGGAGTCGTGTCCAAAAACATGGATAGTGTGCCTGGTTTGCATTTGCGCGAGCGGGGCGAGCTAGATAGGTGGATGAAGCAGGAGATGAGTGTGTGGGGAGGACATATTTTGAAGAGGCATTGTCAATGTCGTGTTGTATGTACTTTTGTGGCTTTCCTACGCTCGCAGCTTGGTGTCCTTGTTGCGAACAGCTTCGGGAGTATCGAAACGTTGGCTCTTTCAACGAACACACACACACACACAAAAACCCACACCCGTTCCACCAGTTCCGAACCTCGGTGAACTCGTTCGTACTTTGTCCGTTCCGAAGTGCCCGTGCCATGACAAAAATGATGAGGACGATGACCTGGAGATCATTGCGGTCAACTTACCGGAGGCGCCGCAGCAGGTGCCGCAGCCGGTGCCGCATCTGGCAGGGCGACGTTTGGTGCCACCGGATCTGGCACAACTGGTGCCGCCTACAGGGGAAGGCTGGTGTGTTGTCATTCTCCAAAAGTTGCACTTACATGCACATATTATAATATATATAATATAATACATGTTTTTGTTATATTATGTTATATGGTTACTATTGTGACTATTAAATTGTTGCTATTATTACTCTATACTACTATCAGTGTATTTGTCTTGTTCTTCTTCTTCTTCTTCTGCTTCTTCTTTGCTGGCTTCGAGGGTTGGAGCACTGGGAGTCCAGAGAAGAAACAAGACCCAAGAATTCTTGACAGACCCAACCCATGTCAATACTGCAAAAGAAGACCAGAGCCTAGGAGCCTAGGAGCCTAGAACCCCAAAACTTCTACATGTTCGGCCAGTTTCATCCGCCCGATGTTCGGCTTGGCTGTGTGTTCCAAATGTGCCGAACACGGATCGATCTTTGGGAGGTGAATTGAAGCCGTCCTTACATCCGGAGCCGTGGCGACATTTGCACCGTGGGATGTAGGTGTGAAGTTTTCCGAGATTGGAACAAGCCAACTTGTGTTTGGTTGCGACGGAGTTTCTAGGTTTTTAGGTAGATATTATTCAAGAACATCCAGACAGCAGTCCTATTTTGTTCTATCAGTTTTGGATCTCTGAGCCGTGGATGATGGTCCAATCTTGATAAGGAAACAGTGTTCAAAAGAGGACAGCAACAAGACGGATGACTCATGAGGATTAGCAGCTAGCAAGTGCCGGCAAGTTGAGAAAGACCAGACTCATGACTCTGGTCTTTCTCAACTTGCCGGCACTTGCTAGCTGCTAATCCCAAATTCCAATTGAGGAGCCCGCGACGGACTTCTCCGATCTGGAGGATGATGACTTCGCCACACGTCTCCAGGACTTTGTGTGGGCTGCTGCGACCGATAGGGATGTGTTCTTTTCAGCGTATCTGGCAGAAAGATGTGGAAACCACAGACAGAGTGGCATATGGTGGCATGAAGAGTTTCAGGGTCTTCTCATGTTTTCTCTTTGATTCTGGTTGGTTGGTGAGTTGGGCTCTGGCAGTGGTAACGGCGAAGTGTGTTCCAAGATTCCTTTGGAACTGGTCTTCTCGAGGAAACATGCCGACACATCCATCACATCCATGGAAAACCCGTAGCATCGTTCAGTTGTCCCTCAATAGATCTCGATTTTTTGTTTTTGGCTTCCAGGTGGTTTTCTGGCTTTTTGCGGCTTCAGGTCGTGTCGCGACCCGACATTTCTATTAGTTTCCAACAAGATTGTAAAAAGGTGGTTGGACGTCATGGAGAAATCCCAGAATTGGTTCGATGGAATATCTGGAGGAAACCCATAGTACCATCCCTAACTCAAGATCCAAGACCTCATACAAAAATGCTACCCAATGAGTCAATGAAGGTCAAGAACCAGGTGTTGCTAGGTCTTTGGACCTGCAGGGGGACTCCAGAAATATTGAAGACTTTGAATTTGAGTGTGCGAGTATACTCAACACTTTTGTCACATCCTTCTTCCGGTGGCCATGGATCCAGAAGCGTGGAAGTTCAAGTCTGAGACACCACACAGAGCCCATCATCCCAATATTTATGGAAAACATCCTGATGGGAGGTGGGAACGCTGCATGCGGCATGACTTGCAAAACACCACTGGAAATAATGTGGTTTCATTCTAACATGGGATCCCAATCCTTGGACACGGAACCCACGCTCGGAAAAAGCTCGCAGCTCGCCCCCACGTGGAACCAGGACACGGTGAGGTGATGGTGAAGTGACGGCAGGCGCCGGTGGGTTGCCATGAGTGTGTTTGTGTGTGTGTGCGCGGGGTGTTTGCTCAGTAGGATCAGAATGTCCTGAAGGTTCCAGAAGCGAGAAATCCTTTCCCTGTAGAACCCTCCAAAGTTCGGTGAGCCTTCACAGTCACAGTCGAATATCTTCTCTCCAAAGCTTCTTGCACACTGAAAAGTGGTTCTGACACCTGGCACCGCAATGGATCTTTTATCTGGGTGCGGCTGATGCATAGATTCGTGTTGACGCCCGCTGAGCAACTAAGAACCACACACACAATCTGAGGCAGGTTCCCTTAGTGCCGTTGTTGCTCCAATGTACTATGCAGTCATGCATCTATGACAAACTGTGAATTACTGTTGTTGAGATTCATGCGTGGTGATTAATGACTTAGGCCGGATGCTCCACTGAATTGATTTGAGCTTTTAGCTGTTCAAGACATAGTGTGACTTGGATTAATCTTGGGGAAGTTTTGCAAGTAGATTTGATTGAAGCAAGTTGACTCAGACCTTGAACCAACCCCCCGCGGCGCCTACAGGCGACTGAGCTGAGCACAAGCTGAGCCGAATCGCCAGGACTCGCGAGGACTCGCGAGTGGTGAGTGGAGTCGCTGAGCGCAGGTGCAGGTGGAACTTGATCCCAACAGAGCCCGGGAACCCAAAGGAACCCAAAGACTCGAAGTCAATCCTGCTTCAACCATTCTTTGTTCTTATTGGACTTGTGGGGCGCTCGGACTCGAAGTCTCAAAGATCTTAGCACCAGACTGTGTAGACTGTGTAGACGGTCTCGGTTCCTACATAAAGGCTGGGTCACTACGGTCTCCACTACTGGCCTTCCTGAGACATGGAAGCACAGGGTGCCCGGAAGAACAATCCCTAAACTAAACTATGTAATCTAAATACGCATCCTCAAGCAGATAGAATATGTCATATAGAATCTGCAACAATCCAAGACCCCCAAAAATGAAAGCCGAGATGTTTCTAGATGGTTTCATATTCTATCTACGCATCAAAGCTGGCTGCATCATGTATCACATGATGTCCCAATCTTCTCAATCTCTTTCAGTGCAAGTGATATGCAAGTATATGCAAGTTCTCAAGATCAATATCACTCTTGCACGGTTTTCACCTCTGCTCCTTCCCTCATCTCCGGTCCGTAACTCTGCTCTCTCGTTTCCACGATCCATCCACCAGCTGCCCCACGAAACGACGAAGTCCTCTGCGTGCTTCGCGCTCCGCGCTGAGCGCTCCACGGGCTCAGCGCGGGGAACCGCGCGGTTCCACGTCCGGGGAGGTTGGGCGTCTCCAGTCGTTCCCGAGAGGTTGGGCGTCTTCGTTGTTTTTTGTACCAGTGGTACCACCCAGAAGAACCTTCCCAAGAAAACACCAAATCAATTCAAGAAGTAACATTTGATCGTTTGGACTCGGCAGTCTTGCGAGTTTCTTCCGGCAGTCTTGCGAGTCGAAAACGAGTCTTGGGGCAACCAAGGGCTTCTGCCAAATCATGGACTTTCAATGTGGCAGAGTGGGACTGAACTCTGTTGCTGTATAGAGAATATACTGATAGAGTTTTGAGGCTTTACTGTGTATAATACTGTATACCCCTTGAAGGGCAGTGCCTTTGCCTTCGCTTACCTCCTCAGTTTAGCTGGTTCACCTAGAGTTTGTTTGTGGCTCAAGTGTAGGGTTTGCCCTCTATGTCCTTGGAAGGACTATATATACTTCAGAAAGAACACACGGACCACGGAAGGTTCCTTAGGGGGCTTAGTGTCAAGGATTTCCTTCTCAACAGGTGAGGATCGAGTCATTGCCCACAAGCTCTCTTCTTCTAAAGACTTGACCGCTGTTGACAGCTGTTTGTTGTATTGCTATCATCTCAAATCAAGCAGTTCTTGATTGAGCCAAATCACCTAGGTTTTCCTGTCCGTTCTTGAAACTTTTGAGCCTGGCACATGCGGGGGTTGTTTTGGTGTGTTTTACCTTCCTTGCCTTCTATACTCGTTTGACGGAGGACACACTCACCATAACAACATTGAACATGGACCTTGGGAAGACTACTCCAAGCCGAGTCCAAACCAGTGCTTATTGAAGTTCCAGTTGTTCTTCTTTTCTTAAATGATCTTAAATGTACATTGTGTTTATACCGATTTCCTCGATGTTTGCCGCGTGATTCGCTGCCTTTCCTGGACGACTGGAACGAATCAGTTTCGCCAATGATCCCAACTGATCCATCGATCGGGCCTCGCTCCTCGCTTCATGTGGAAAAGCCAGCGATCCGCCCTGAAACCCCGCGCGGGGGGAGGTGTAGTAGCAGTGGCCTGCCCTTTCAGACCGTTGGGTCTTTGGCAAATGGGTGGACCTGGTCCCTGGTCCAGTTAATACATGTCTACACTCACGTCCACATCTCTGAGGGCGCAGATGTTTATTCCACCCGGCACCTGGGTGCAAGGGCACGTTTAAGTTCAAGGCCTCAAAGTTGAAGGCGCCCTCCGCGCAAGTTCCAGGCATTTCCACCTAGAATCGAGAGGCCTGCCTTTGGCCAACGTAGCTTTGCATGAGCTTTGCATGAGCTTTGCATTGCAAAAGTGGGCCGGAAATCGCGCAGGAGCTGGGACTGTGCATGTTGTTTTGTTCGTGAACTGAGCCGGGCCCGGCCCGGCTCGGCTTAGTCTTGTTTGGGGGTCCTCCTTCGGTGGAAGAAGCCTTTGGACAATGGCGAACGCGACCCAATTGCAAGCGGGACCCCCTTCAAAAGGATTGTAGACATGAATCCAAAACTGAACTATACCTCCTGCTGTGATCCTTGATCCATCTCCGGGTATTCGCAGCATTCAAACTTCAATATAGCCTTTCCATCGGACCATCAGTACAACGGTACCCAATGGAAAGGTTGCCCAAGCCTACCTGAGGGTGAGTGAGCTGGACAGAAGGAAGAAGGTGAACCGGTAGACCCTTGATTTCGAGGGGCACTGATTGCATCAGATTCGTTCTTTCAGGCATTGCCTGTCGTGTTGCCCAAATTCCAGAGGGAAGAACCACATCATGTACAAGAAGCATGGAGACAGGCTGAGACAGGTAGTTTTGGAGGACCGGCTCCACTTTCCATGAAGAACAGGGCTTCCAAGCTCCACACACCACACGGTTCAGCGGCACCGAGTTCGGTCTTGCGAACGCGTTTGGTCCTGCTGAGGGTGGTTCGCCGGAAGCCTCAGAGGGTCGTGCCGCACATGGGAACAACAGCTGTAGACTTGTTGATGAATAACCCCCCAAATATAATCTAAAGGTTTTTAATCATCTAAATGGTGGGAGATTTATCAAAGCATTCTACATGTATACACATCTTATGAATCTTATACTTTTAGTCCATGTGGATTGAGGCGCACTGAGGCTGATAGGCTGTAGGTTGAACGAGGTGAGCTCAGCCCCAAACTCTATGGCCCCATGGTGAGCTGCATTTGCCCCCCCAATTGCAGCCGTGACTTCGTCATCTTGTTCAAGATCAATTCGGTTGCTCCGTCATTTCGTCAATCTTCTTTACAGTCTTAACATCTCAACCTCGCTTTGCTTCGAGTAGTTACCGGGTAGTTTCTATTTCCTTCTGCTGGCGACACCCCTTTTGGGGGAAGGTTTTCGTTATGTAAAGCAAATCCAAGCAATTAGCTTGGAGGCCATCGCCATCGCCATTGGGTTCTTCAGGCCATCGCTCCTATAGGTTGGAGGCCATCGCTCCTATACGTACTCTTTCCCAAGGGCCAACAGCCCAACAGCCCAGGGCCAGATCCTCCAAACGAGGATCGCGAGGCCGGAGACGAAGAATGAGACGAAGATGGTCGGACCGGACGAAGGTTTTTCTAGAAGCCATTTCTGAGTTTCGGGCGTATTGTGGCCCTATTTGTTCATGTACTATTCTTTTTTTTGTTTTCTG